TCCCTATTGATAGCAATTCTAACATTGAAGGCCTTATTCTAAATTTTAACAAAGTATGCTGAAATGCTTTAAACACGGTAGCTCCCTTGAAAATGATAAAAACTTCAAATAAGAAACTTCTAGGGCCGTGGCTTAATGAAACCACTCGTGCACTTAGACGTCTAATGTAGATGCGCTGAGAGGAGGTGGAAAAAAAGATACATTTTTCCACCTCATTTTGGTTTCATTTGAAATTTTGAAAGATAGTCTACTTAATTTTCAGACTAATGTCAAATTACCCAAACCCAAATATTTTTTTTATCTTGCAGCTGCAGATAGGCCTCAAGTCCTTGAAAATCTTTGATATCCTTGTTTTAACAAATCTACAAACATGTCCTTCACAGCTAAGATGATAAATGGATAAATACAATTTTGTATTTAGGCTTTCAAATTAATTTGACTGAGACAAAACTGACAAATATTTAAAAAAGTTAATAAAAAAAACCAAGTAGGACTTTTGTACAAAAGCTTTTAAAATAGCAGCTTAGGTTTTCTGAGCTAAACCTTTATTTCTTTTTTGTATGCTCGTTTGTCTGAAATGTATCAGCTTTAGACAGGACTCTGCATCAACATGATGTCAACAGAACACAAAAAAACAAACATGCTTTGGGCCTTTCCTCTGCATCAATGAGCAGAGGTCCAGATTGGAAACAGACCTCTGAAGCACGACCTCCAAGTTTTCCACATGCACAGCTCCACCCAAAGCTACCCATTTCCCCCTTTTCCTCTTACATTATTCTAACATGCAGTTACAAAACAGCTGAAGAAAACAGGAACAGACAACAAACAAGCAGTCACATACACCGATACTAGGTGACTAAAAATGTAGAGATTTAAAAATATCCAAATGCACCGATACTTCCTAAATACTGAGTGGAGTTAAATATTATCAAATCTGTAACAAGCACTTGCATAGACATCTGACACAAAGTTGCAGAGAAGTAATAATCTAGTCAAAGTGCAGACTCAACATGAACATAGAGATCAAACTGCTAAATGTCTGGACCTAATTTCCTGCTGGCAGAAAGCAAACCAATCCAACTTTTATGCTGAATTAAAATCTAAATGACAACTCAATGACTCACCTCAGAAAGAAGAAAAAGTCACAGGAAAAGCACAACTCCGCAAAAAAAACCCCTGTAATTTCTAAGTTTGTGAATCAACTCAGAACATGGAAGAAATAAAAACTAATATTAGCAGAGACTTCTCTCTGAACCAGACGAGACAGAAAAACAAGATTGTGAGTGAAAGGTGTGCCCCGGGCTGAAATTCATTGGCCACGCGGCATGAAGGAGGCGTCACCGCTTCTCTGATTGGCTGCAGAGAAACGGGGAGAGGCTTATTGTGCTGGCTGGGGGCTACAGACAGGGGGCCGATCAGGGGGAGAAGTAATTGCTCTTTTTTGGGGAATATCAAGTTCTTGGACAGGACTTGCAGCTGCAGACATGACCTGTGGGTAGCCTGAGTTAACCAGCAGGGAACCAGGGCCAAAGCCAACCACCCTGCACTGTCAAAACACAGACACCAGCTTCTGCAGCAGAATGTGTGGACAAAAGGATTAGAAAAGAAACTACAAGAATTTTTTTTTTTTTTTTTTACATTAACAAAATACATTCCAAAGTTCAGAAGGCTTCATCTGTACACTGGAAAATGAGTCAAATTACAGCTCCATCAACTCCAAGGGCGTGGCTCCAAAACTCTGCAGAGTGAAACTGTACAGAGCTTCCCAAAGGCTGAACATTTTTATCAGTATTCATTACTGCAGTTCAGTCAGATGTTTGAAACATGGAAGCTGCTAGAGAGCTCCAGGATAATGAGAATAAAGAGTCAGCTGCATAGCTGAACAACAAAATCATTAAATGAAATGATTCTCATTGAAATTGATTCCAGTTTTAAACCATTTTCCACAAGCCTTTCAGAGAAAGATTAGCTGAAAGTAGGAGAAAACGTCTCCAGAAGATATATTTTTAATCAAAGAAAAAAAAAAAGTTAGACACAAAGACATAAATTGCATTTTTTAAAACTATATACATCTGAGAAAACAACAACATAATAATATAGACCGTCTTATTGTAAGTTGCTTTCAGAATTTTGCAGGCATTTTCTTGACCAACACCATGAGAGATGATGAATTATCACCTTCAGCTGGTGTATACTGTCAGCCCCGGGATAAAAATACAGAAGAAAGATCCTACGATTTCAGTTTTGGCCAGCATATCATTTATATTTTCTCACTGACTGACTGGAAATACAAGGAATCAACAATTTCTCTGCTGTTCACACAGAAAGATATTCCTCATACAGCCGGCAAGATAAAGAAATCAAGATTAATTATATATTTTTTTTATTATTTAGGTTCACTCACATGGGTATCTGTACTTGAAAAATGATTTTGTTTTTCATCAAATATCAAGACATTCATTTGTCCTCTTTCATTTACTCTGGTGTAAAATGTATATTTTCAATACATTAAAAAAAAAATAGAGTACATGGTGTTCTTTAGTTTTTTAACCTCTTCTAAAGTTAATATGTAGCTACATTCTTGTTTATGCACATAAACTTGGCAACTAAAGCCAATTCTAATTGATTGCTTGACTTAAGATCTGTTGAAAAATTATTTTTATTTTGCTAACAATTTTCTTCAAGCTGTTCAAATTTGTATTTCTAATTAAAAACAACTTTTCTAATTAAATATTTACTACACTTCAAACATTTCTCCCATTCAAGGCATCTCAAAGAAAGCACATTTAGAATTCGATTTGTTATTTCATTAATATTTCAAAATCCAATGCTTTTTGCAAATTCATTACATAAAACTACATAAAGCCTTGTTGATCTGAAAAATGACAAGGAGTTGGAGTCATTTTCAATTGTAATTATGAATTTTTTTGCTTTCTTGAATTAATAAAATTTCTATGTGAAAGTTCACTGGTTTTTATATGAAATATAACAAGCAGCATTTGGTCACAAAATGGGGAGTAAATAAAAACTAAGTGACGATATGAGGAGTGTTTTTACCTGCGCCTGGGGGACATGGGAACATCGCGGTCAGTGGGGCTGTGAGGTGAGTAGCGTCCTGGTGGGGTTGGTGTCCTGCTGGACCCAGAAGGGTGTCTGAAGTCAGAAGGAAAAAACTCCTAGAATAAAAAAAAATAAAAAAAGGGTACAATGATACAAAAGCAAGTAGCACAGATTAAAGACTTACGCAGACTGTGAAAACATAGAAATCTGTTTTCTCTAGCACCGGTATAAGAGCAAAATGACATCTCTCTTCTTGCAGCTCATCAGCATATCAACTCATTTCTTCTACGATGTCTGACAAATTTGTGATTTGTCAGAAATTAGAATTGGGCGTAGATACTATACTAACAAATACTGAAGAGAGAGGGGCCTATGAGCACATAAGTTGCGTTTCTTGTAAAGTATGAAATGTCCTGCGAAGAACAAACTTTGTTCATTCCAGCTAAAGAAAAATATGTTTTTATCTGTTCTGGCCTTAAGAAGGGGGAGCGGTTCTGTTACGCTCACACAGAAAGCAAAGGTCCTGATTCTATCAGGTTCTACAGCTGAGATGACGTCAGTCATAACCTAAAAACACAGCTACATGATCCAAAAATCAAAGACAATGATAACCCATGTACTGCATACAAAACAATAGAGGTTACACATCATCATATCTGACTGAAACACATATTCATCCAGCAAAAACAATACATCATCTGACTTTGTTTTTGATATCCTGAGCTTCTATTAACAACCAGCATCCATCTCTGCTCTGCTGATGAGTATCAGCAGCCTGCATCAACATTTTAAATCCAGATCACCTTTTATAGCAAGAAACCCGCTTCATTCCGTCATCTAGTTTTAACCACTCCAAATGTTCTGCGTTAATAACAGTGTTGGTTTTATAAATATGTTTTTATGCACTTTAATAGTTTTCAAACGGAGGTCAGAGATGCAGTGCTGCTGCTGGAAGTACTATGAAGGTACGTTTTACATCAGGACCAATCAGGAAAGAATGTTGATTCATTACATGAATTACGTTCTCCTACCAGAAGAGGGCGCCACATACCAAGTGAATACCATCAGCTAATGAACAACGTACCTCAACAGATGCGAATCGATGCGTCAGCTGCTTGCATAAAAAAAAGACACCCAAGCATGAAGTTATTCTTGCATTAAGAGCAATGGATGACTTGTTAAATTATATTAGTATTAGTAGGCTGTGTTAAAATAACAAACTACATGTGTGTACACTTTGAACCCCAGGACAAAGGCTCAGTACATTCATCATTCAGGACACTTTTACTGTCAGGAATTTTACTACTATCAGGCCGTCTCCTTTCTAACCATGTCCACCTGTAAAGCTGACCACCTCCTGAGGCATGAAAGCATTTTTATTCACCCTACCAGACAAGGTTAATCAAATGCAAAATATATCCAAACTTCAGCTTAGGAATTGTTTTAGCAACAGTCCTCATAGTCCCTAAAAACTAATAAAAACTCAGGAAAACATCTTGCACAATAAAGCTCAGCGAGTTTTCCTTCCTGTACAGTCACCAGCTGGCATCAGTGTTGCACGGGCTCCATCCAAGAGAGAAAATGACTCCACCCAACTTTTCAGGCAGTAGGAGACTACAGTCAGAGCCGATGGTGGAACCAGACAGAAACACAGTGGCACGGATGAAATGGATGATTTCTGTGGTTGATGCCAGCACCCGCTTCCAATTCAGCAGGTCTTTGAACAATAGCTCTGTTCTCAATTGAGTCCAATTTCCCTCCTCTTTTTTTCTTTCCAGAGTGGGCAGATTAGTGGTGGATGCCAGGAAGCTTTTACCAGAAACGATCATTGGGACGGCTCCCTTCGAATTTTTTCCCTCCGTATAAACCCAGTAATATGACTCAGGACTGAGGGAATCCATCAGACTACGAAACTACTCATCTGTTTGCTCTCCTGCTGCGAAGCAATCTAAAGTTCATATACCTGATGGACACACATTCTTGAGAGACTTTTTTGAGATAGACCAACTAAAGTCCAACAGTATGTGGATATAAATCCCTGCTAATGCAACCAAGGTGGACCTTGCATAACCATGGATCTTCAAGATCTACAGTCTAAAAATGTAATCTAAACGAGTAAAGAGAAATGCAATAAACGCAACAATAGAAAAGCTGAAGAGCAGAAAAAAAACAGCCACTTTAAAGGCACATATCTGTTCAATTACTTGTCAACACAAACAGTGAAAATTGCTTCCAACTCAGTGTATTTAGGCATCTAGATGTGGTGAATGAAACTTGAAGTTCAGCATAAGCCCAACAATGTGGATAAGGAAGGGGATTTAATGGTTGATGACTCCAGACAGATTGGTCCCAGTACTTCAGAGATCGCTGATCTACTGGGATTTTCCCCTCACAACTATTGCTTAGGTTCACAGAAAACAGACTGCCAAATTTCCAGCGAGCAGCAGTTGTAAGGATGAAAATGCCATGCGTTTATCGGAGGAGAATGGGTAGGCTGGCTTGAGATGGAAAAAAGGCAACAGTGATTTAAATCATCAATCATACCAACCAAAGAACGCAGAAAACCATCTCTGAATGCACAACATGTTGAACCTTGAAGCAGAAGAGATTCAGTGGCAGACGACCACAACAGCTGAACAGGTGGGACACAATTTGCTCACCAACATTTGACAAAAGATTGAGAAAATATTGACTGATCTGATGAATCCCGACTTCAGTTGCAACTGATTTTAGCATAATCGGCATAAAAAACCTGGACCCATCCTCGCCTCATTCACACACTGGGGTAAATTAATTGTACAACTTTTTAGGGGATCTTTTTTTGCATTCTTTGTGTACATTGACACAAATTAACTCTAGTTAAACAGGCAGCAGCCTATCGGAGTACTGATGACTTTTTTTCTTTGCTTTATGGTCACTTTGTTGCCCATTGTCTGATGACTACCCCCCAACAAAATAACACACCATGTCACAAAGGTAAAATCATTTTTTTTTAAAAAGATTGAACATGAAAATGACTTCACATGTTCACCGTGCTCAAGTGGTGTTCAGTTAAGAGATCTACTGAAATGTGAAGCAATGGGAGTTTTACGTCATCAATGTGCAGCAGAAAAATCTGCTACAACTACCTGATATGTCAATTTGGACTGAATTCATTGAATGTTTCCAAAACACTGGTAAAAATGTTTCAAATATTAAGACACATCTGAGATCAAAATGGGTGTTTGGGGGATACAGCTATGGTGGACTCTTGGCTGCAAACGTACTGGTCAGATTTTATTTCTCATTTTCTGTCAGAAAAAACACATTGATTGAATGAAAAATTTCAATTAAAACCTTCCCTGGGTAAGGATAATTTTGGGCAATATGATGGTCAAACCTTCTACATTTGAGCTACATTTTTGTAAGTGAAAATGAAAAAGCTTCAGAATCCATGTCAATATCTGTCCAAAGTCGCTCGTCCAGTAAAGCGTTCAGTAAAAATCAACAAATCACAGAATTTTTTTTTTTTTTTTTTTTTTTTTTTTCTCTCCTACAACCCTGAGTTCCCATTAAGGCCCTGAATGTTCATGACAGGAAAACAATCAAGAATTTTTGGCCATGATTTTTTAAAAGTTTTTTTTCCCTGATGTTTCCCTTTAGTATAACTGTTTTTGGAAAGAAAACTTCATATTTTCCCACTTACTTTGAATAAAAAACTAAAAGTTGCACAACTAAAGCAGGAACCTCATCATCATTAACCATTTTGCAGAATCCAGAATATGAGCCCAGTAACAATGGCATAGCTGACTGTAGGATCCTTCATTACAATTAAAGACAATATTGCTCCATTCAAATGTATTACTCATGGTTGATTTAAAGTTGCAGTGCCTTTGCAATCTCCAACCTTGGCACCGCCTACAATGTCCCTTTCTTTTATCTATCCAGACTTGGGGAGGGGTGCTGGCTAAAGTAGAGAAGCCTGTTTGTTTTGTTGCTTTTTTTTTTTTGTATTGGATAGCAACAAGGCCATAGATGGGAGAGAACGCAGAGGAATATCAGCCAGTTTTCAGTGGTTCCTGTGGCTGCCAAGAGGAGGAAGCTTTGATTAAAGCTGTACAGAACTGTAATCAGAAGTTCATAGTCAACAAACCCAAGATCATTAGGGCAAGTCTCTGGTATGCTGCCCTGGCTTCAAGTTGCACATCCAATAACACATACCACTTTTCACTTTACAACCCACAAACATTTAGAGCAATGAGAGCACATACGTTAGAAAACATAAGTATGCTTTTATAATATGATAAGGTCTTTTACAAACAGCATTATTAATTAGAGGTCACATCAGTCACATCTTTATTTTGACAGTTTTTAATGAGAAAAGAAGATGGTGACTTTGGGGAGAAGTGGAGTCACATTTTCGAGTTCATTCTGAATAAACAGATCTCAAAATGAGACAACCATGAATTTCTTTATATTCATGGTTGTAAAGAACAATTGTTTGGATATTTTTTAATTTCTGTGTGTGGAGTCTGGCCAAAGGGAAAAAAAACTTGAAGCAACTTTTTGCTTTTCAAACTCCAAAATCTTTTCCATAAATTGAGGTTGGTGCTGCAAAGACAGCTGCAGAAAAGATGTTTCCCCTGTCCAATATTTATTTGAATAATCCCTTTATTTAATTTATACTCCACTCATCCATGAAAAAGGAACATGTTTGAATAGGTTCTTTCAGAAAACTATTTCAAGCTGGAATCTTGCAGTCCTCCAAATCAATAAGGATGCCAGTTTACGTGTTGCACAGTACTCAAAAGTTGTATATACAAAATACAAACCCCAAACACAGAGAAAATGATAAACTGTAGTAAAAGGGTGGCTGTCTGAGGCCAATGGGAGACACTGGGGACAGTGCCAGCAGATGAGACTTCAGTCTGGCTCCAAGCAAACCACTTTGCATCATCATTACCACCCTGCAGCTTCAATTACAGGGCATTGGCTGCAGCATAGGAGTGATGCCTAGAGCAGTTCGTATTTTGGGAAGTCTAGCGCTGCTGTGAGAGGGTGCGATAACTGATGATTTTGCATTCACCACAGACATGAGTCCAGCAGTACAGCAGGTTCTGTAGTAAACTGGAGCAGT